AAATTCAGGACAATCTTAATTATGAGTTTAAGGAGACCTTCCTACTAGGTAACAGGATATTCAGAAGTACCCAAGACATAAGCAGAAAATCCTGAAGGAGAAAACAATTGGGTTTTCCCATGTAAGCATGAAAGTGCCCATTCAGCTGGTACTGTAAATGAAACAGAGTTGTGAGCAATTTCAAAGCATAAAAGTTTCATGGAGGGAAAACTTGCTCAAAGGCTTTAAGTTTTTACTACATTCTGAAGATAGTTTGAAGTAACGGATTCTCAGGCTGTACCAAAAATAATTTTAGGTGAAAACTTCAAAATAATCTAGTTTGTATTCATTATCTTTTTGTTTAAACTCATCTTTGGCCTCCAAGGAGATTTAAGAAATATACAATTGTAGTGGGTAGCCATTCCAGCTTTGATCTAGAAGTTCCAACCCCCACTGAGGCTTCGGTAACTGTCACGCCTACAAGGCGGGGCCAAGAGAGGGCCCTGAAGACCCGGATTCGCCATCCTCTCTTGTTTCCCGGACCCTGGATGCTGGAGGTAGACCGAGCAGAGTTCTTTCCCAGACCCTGTTACCTATCCCTTCATTTGTAAGTTATGCCACTAAATAAATCTCCTTTTTATCTACATGGAGTGGCCTTAATAATTTCACCAATATACAATTATGTTTGCTTTGTTGTTTGTTTTGTTTTGTTGTTTTTCAAGACAGGGTTTCTCTGTGTAGCCCAGGCTATCCTGCAACTAGCTCTGTAGATCAGGCTGGCCTCAACTCAGAAATCTGCCTCCCAAATGCTGGGATTAATGGCATGTACCACCATACCTGGCAATGTTTGCAATTTTTTTTTTGCCACCATATTATCCATAAAAAATATTCTAAAAAAAAACTTTGATTCTAATTTACTCTTATTTTCCTTTTTAAATCCACCCGAGCTTGTTTAAGTCATTATATTTAATTTTTTTGTCATGCTATACAAAAATATAAATTTAAAAATGAAGTTTTAGCAATTAAAGACAAGATAAATTTTCTTATTTTGTAGACAGGCAGTGGTGGAGCATGCCTTTGATCCTAGCACTTGGGAGGCAGAGGCAGGTAGATCTGAGTTGAAGGCCAGCCTGGTCTAGAAAATGAGTTCCAGGTCAGCCAAAGCTGTTACACAGAGAAAAACCAAACCTGTCTCAAAAAAACCAAAAAAAGATTTTGATTATTTATAAGGTGATTGACCATTAGCTTGCATGTCTTAATTATCTTTTAACAGTTTATAACAAGTTAGTAGCATACATACATACATATATATACATATAAATATATATATATATACACACACACAAAATAAACAGAGGGCTCAATAGGACTAAGAAATTTTTTTTTATTTAATTTTTTTTATTTTTATTTTGCAATACAATTCAGTTCTACATATCAGCCACGGATTCCCTTGTTCTCCCCCCTCCCGCCCCCCTTACCTTCCCCCCAGTCCACCCCCATTCCCACCTCCTCCAGGGCAAAGCCTTCCCTGAGGACTGAGATCAACCTGGTGGACTCAGTCCAGGTAGGTCCAGTCCCCTCCTCCCAGGCCGAGCCAAACGACCCTGTATAAGGCCCAGGTTTCAAACAGCCGACTCATGCAATGAGCACAGGACCCGGTCCCACTGCCTGGATGCCTCCCAAACAGATCAAGCCAATCAACTGTCTCACCCATTCAGAGGGCCTGATCCAGTTAGTGACCCTCCGCCATTGGTTCATAGTTCATGTGTTTCCATTCGTTTGGCTATTTGTCCCTGTGCTTTATCCAACCTTGGTCTCAACAATTCTCGCTCATATAAACCCTCCTCATAAGAAATTTTTATAGGTTGCTGCCTTTTGCTAATAATAGCTCAGCTGTCCCTGGCTTTCCTCCTAGGCAGATTTTTCCTGCTAGTGTTTTGTAGAGATGGAGGTACCAGCAGCTGAGTATTACTGTCATGTTTCAATAAGCCTGGATTCATTCATTCATTCATTTATTTATTTATTTGTTTGTTTGTTTGTTTTGTTTTGTTTTGTTTTTTTGAGACAAGGCTTCTCTGTGTAGTTTTGGTGCCTGTCCTGGATTTTGCTCTGTAGACCAGGCTGGCTCCGAACTCAGAGATTGGCCTGACTCTGCCTCCCAAGTGCTAGGATTAAAGGCATGTGCCACTGCCACCTGGCTCATTTGGCTCCTTGATTTTTTTAAGCAAGGAAACTGAGCTGAAGAAATACACTAAGCCTTTTTTCCCACTTTTGTGTCTATCTTCATTTCCATCTCTATCTCCAAACCACGCATGTCCCATCCATTCCAACTGTCTGTTAACTAGACTCCATTCTCAAGGACCTCATTCCAAATGTTTCCTTCCACTATATCCTTTCCACGATCACAATCCTTTTGCTGTATTTCTTTTTCCTCTCATTAGGTCCCTTCCCGTTCTCACTGCATCTCAATCCTTCATGTGCTAATTTTTATATGAGGTCAGTTAATGTTGAGCCTTAATCCTTAATTCCTTAGGGATGCTCATTTTGGGTAAAGAAGTACAAACGGGGGTTCCGAAGCTACCCATCATGACTAGAAGACTCTGATGCTTCCTTAAGTCCATCCAATAAACTGTTATTCAAATTTAAATAAATAGCAGCGTCAGTTAAAACAGTCAGTGACTGAGAAGCATCTAATAAAAGCTGATTGATTATGGCAAGTTTAGAGGGTTGAGCTGTATAACCCAGAGTGAATACAATCTTGTGTGTGTGTGTAGCATGTGAATATTTTATATAAAACATAAGCTCCTTGACCTTTTGAAGAGCCATTAAAAGCAATCTCTATAGGGGTTTTAGATGTAATTTTAGGCAATAATCAGGGAGTATCTTCAAAAATTCTTTGTTTTAAGATTTATTCATTTTTTTTATATATACATTGGGTTTTACCTGCTATGTGAGGAACCCAGATCCTCTGGAACTGGAGTTACAGACAGCTGTGAACAGCCATGTGGGTGCCGGGAATTGAACCTGGATCCTTTGAAAGAGCAGCCAGTGAGTGCTCTTAACCACTGAGCCATCCAGCCCAGCTGCTTAAAATTCTTAAAAAGGGAATATTTCAGATAATTATCTATAGATCCCAAGTAATATGTTAATTTGAACTGCCAACTATTAACAGTGCGGAACAAATAGTTTACCAGAAAAATAATTATTATAGCCTCTTTATCAGTAAGAGATTATTTCTATGAGCTGCTGGTTTAGCAACCACATTATTTAATAAGCTAATAACCTGCTCTGTTTCAAGCAGTTACATTTTTATAGAATATAATGGCGCGTTTCCAGACAGCAACTTAAAGAGCAGAGCCAGATCCTCAGCGGTGAGAGACAGATCAGAGGAAGGATACCCAATGACATAGTTCAAAATTATGAATTTTGCTCTTTGAGTTTATTTACTATGAAAATTAAGCATTAATTAGACAATATAATGAATGGCTAAGCGCATTGGCTTAGTGCTTTACGTCCTAATTGCGGTTGGTTTTGCACTAGAAGTTAGGCTTGTTTTGATTTTTTTTTCCTCCCATGAAGAGGCCATTGATACTGAGCTATTCCTGCTATGAGGGAAAAATAAAAATAATTTTTTTTTCCATGAAGGGACCTTTAATTTGAGTTATCCCACTATGAGGGAAAAAAAAAAATCAAACAACTCTTTTTAAAATAATTCAGAGAGACTTTGTTATCCTCCTTTACGGGCTCTCTTTACTTTAGTTCCTAAGCCTATAAAGTTGCAGAGCTGTAGCTCCGAATGTTTGGTTTCTTTGGACCTTTTTTTTTTTTGAGACAGGGTTTCTCTGTGTAACTTTGGAGCCTGTCCTGGAACTCACTCTGTAGCCCAGGCTGGCCTCAAACTCACAGAGATCCTCCTGGCTCGGCCTCCCGAGTGCTGGGATTCAAGGCGTGCGCCACCACCGCCGGCAACAAATATTTTAATAATTATACAAAACACTTTGTCTCGGAAGACTGAGAAGAGCCCTTTTTTAGTTCCACCCTCTCATTTTAAGGTTAAGATCCCTTTTCAGTGAGAGGACCATGCTTCCCTAACCCTCAATTTCTACAGAAAGAAAAGTTTTCTTACCTTCTCCAATGTTTTTGGTGCCAGTTGAGGGGGACCCTGCAGATGTCAATGCAGGCAGTAATTCGAGAAGAGATAGAAATGAAAACCAGGTTCGGATTGACTTGGTCAGGAGGTTCACTGTTAGCATATTTAAAACACAGGATAATTGGGGAAAAGGTTTCCAGGCAACAATCATCCATCCAATCAGTCCAATTCCAAGTGCACAATAAAGCTGAAGGTGTGACTATGTAGAAAGTCTTTTTACAAAGTACATGTGACCACGAGGGTGGGCTCTATGGCTAAAAGACCTAGAATCTAGTGTAGTTTCTGACCCATAGCATAGAGGTCAGCAGGATATAAAGTACATGTGACATCTCCTAAGGATGGGTAACAGTCTGGGATAATCATTCTGGAATTTGGGTGAGGTCTGCCTCTATAGCAAAAGGTGGGTGAGGTGTGTCTCCACAGATAACAAAAGGGTTATCAGGTCATTAACAAAATCCACTCTCAGCTTTCCAGACAGAACACAGGTATTTGATTTTTATCTTCTTCATTGAGGAGATACCCCTGCGTGAATAACATTCCTGGTTCTCTTAGTACAAGGACCTCTGTGCCCACAACAAGGGGGAATCAGAGGTCTGGCTACAGAGTCTATCTGAGGAATTAGTCACTCTAGGACAGAGGAGGCGGGAACGAAGGTAAAGGGGGTTGGACTAGAGGGGTTCTGTTTCTGTGCTGATATATTAACTTGCTGAGGCCAGGGGGAGGGTGGATGGTCACTCATTACCAAATGTCAAGTCCAAGGAGATAGGTATTATCCGGTCAGTTACATAACCTGCGAGTGTATAAAAGGCACCTTGGCCTCGGACCTCACCTACCTGCGAGCTTTGCCATCTGATCGCTGCTCCCTCTCAGGATGAAGGTGGATGTGGTAAGTACCTTATGATCGTACAGGAGCGGCTTCACCAAGCCCTCAGTGGAGAGGCAGCTGCACGGTCTTCTTCAGTTGGTTCATGCAGGCCCTGCTCATCAAGGTCACAGAGCTAACTTCTTCCTCTTATATCCAGCTGGGGTAGGGGTGAGAAGCCCCCACCTCCAGCCTCCCCGTGGAGTCAGGTCTCCTACAATTACCTTCTGTCTGCAAGGGTATCAAGCAGGTGGGGGCTGCTGGCTCTTAATTAGTATCTTCTCACACTGGAAGTAGGTAGGCTTCAGCTGACACTGGCCGGCTGGTGCCGGGCTGCCATGCACATTGGGATGAGGTGTTTTAGTACCTAGCCCCTTGGGGATGTAATGTTCTTCTTTATGAGCCCGGCTGGTAGTGAGATGGGTCAAACTCCTATCCAACCAGGGCCCAGACCCTTCCCTGGTCTATCGACCTGATGTGGACCCAGAGTTGGCCCAAAGCAAGGACAGCTTCCGAAACTACACCGTGAGTGAACCCATGTAACACCCCTCTCACTTTCTCTGCCCGGTCTCTGGTCCAGCCCTGTGGGCAGCAGCCCTTCCTCTTCCCACAGCTCTAAGGGGGCTTTTGGGGAAGCTCCATTCCGCTTTATACCTGTGGGGCCTCTCCTGCGGGAGGGGAGGCCACGGCTCTCAGTGTGCTGGCACATAGCCTGCGCTGGTTGTCTGGCTTGCAGGCTGGCCCGTTGCTGGATCGCGTCTTCACCACCTACAAGCTCATGCACACACATCAGACGGTGGACTTCGTCAGCAGAAAGGTAAAGGTTCCTTGCTCCTAGCGCAGACTCTGAGGATGGGAGCCTCCTTGCCTGGGGCCCAATGTACCCACAGAGTGACCCTGCTCTGTAGCCCCCTCTTGGAACATGGCGAATTTCTCCTTCTCACCAGCATATCCAGTTTGGAGGCTTCTCGTACAAGAAAATGACAGTCATGGAGGCTGTGAACATGCTAGATGATCTGGTGGATGAATCGGACCCGGATGTAGATTTCCCCAACTCCTTTCATGCATTCCAGACAGCGGAGGGCATCCGGAAAGCCCACCCAGACAAAGGTGTGCCCCACAGCTGTGGTGGGGGAGAGGCCATCATTGCCCTAGCAGGCGACCCGGACCCGAGAGGCTTGGTCCTCTCCCACAGGCTCCACCTTGAGGGAAACAGACCCCCGGGCTCCTTGCTTTCAGCCCAAAGTCTGCTCTGCCTACCTTTATCCCTGCATTTATTTGTCCCCTTTCCACAGACTGGTTCCACTTGGTCGGACTTCTGCACGATCTGGGGAAGATCCTGGCTCTGTGGGGGGAACCTCAGGTAGGTGATGGCCAGGGGTGGGGGGTGGGGCAGCTTCATTCAGCACTGGGCTTGGGGCACTACGAGAGGGAGCAGACCGGCTGACCCCTCCCTCACCCACCCACGGCTGCCTGTCCTCTCCTAGTGGGCCGTTGTTGGAGACACTTTTCCCGTGGGCTGCCGGCCCCAGGCCTCTGTGGTATTCTGTGACTCTACTTTCCAGGACAATCCTGACCTTCAGGACCCTCGATACAGGTAGTTCGAAATAGCACCCCACCTTACGTCAATAGACGACCACAGGTGGTCCTTCCCCTGTACCCGCTCAGTCCTGCTCATACTCATCTCTTGGTCATCGCAGCACAGAACTTGGCATGTACCAGCCCCACTGTGGACTTGAGAATGTCCTTATGTCCTGGGGCCATGACGGTGAGCACAGCTGGAGAGAGACGGGCAAGGAGACAGTGTGGGGATGGTGGTAAGGGCTGCCCCTCTGGGCACCTGGCTGTAACGCGCCCCCCCCCCCCCCTTCTCCTGCAGAGTACCTTTACCAGATGATGAAGTTCAACAAGTTCTCCCTACCCTCCGAGGTAGGTGTGGGGAGGGCCCGATCAGGAGCCTAGCCCCGGTCGGGCCAGTCGGGCAGATCTGAGCGTGCTGGGTGTGGCATCCACAGGCCTTCTACATGATCCGATTCCACTCCTTCTATCCGTGGCACACGGGTGGTGACTACCGACAGCTGTGCAGCCAGCAGGACCTGGATATGCTGCCCTGGGTGAAAGAGTTCAAGTACATAGCTCCTCAAGGGGTGTGGGCAGCGAAGGGGGCTTGGGGCTCAGGAAGGATCTTTCCTGGTGCTCATTGTTCCTCCCGACGTCGGCAGCAAATTTGACCTCTACACCAAGAGCCCTGAGCTACCAGACGTGGACAGCCTGCGGCCCTACTATCAAGGGCTGATTGACAAGTACTGCCCCGGCATCCTGAGCTGGTGAATGGTTCCCAATGTCTTCCCACCGCTGAAAGAGCACCTAGGCTGGACATCACCAGGCACCGTAACAGTCCGTTCCAGCCTTGCTCAGGGCCCCGTACAGCTGTCTACAGTCCCTACCCATTGTGGTGGAGGTCACTTGTGCCAGGTATCAATAAAGACTGAAAGAGTTTACAAAGCTGACTTATCACTGGGTATTACTCAGGTAGGGGTAGCAGGAGCAGTCCCACCCAGCACAGGAATACCACTTACCATGAACATGCTGCTTAGCCTCTTGGCTCCAGGTCAGTCATCCAACTTACCCCCCCATTCTCGAAATAATTACAAAGTCTTCTAGACTCAGCTTCCTTCAACAGAGAAGGGGGAGGGGAAAGCTGGGCAGTGGTGGGGTGGTTCACGCCTTTAATCCCAGCACTCAGAGGCAGAGGCAGGTGGATGTCTGTGAGTTCGAGGCCAGCCTGGTCTACAGCGCGAGTTCCAGGACAGAAAGGGCAACAGAGAGACCCTGTCTTGAAACAAAACAAAATAAACAAAAAATAAATGAAAGAAAAGCATCTAAATAAAACAACATAAATTGATAGGTTGATTGCCCAGGCTACACCTATAGGTGGCCAGGCAGGACTCCCCAGTGCCTTTGGTGTGCCTAAGATGCAGCTCCATCTGGGCTTGCCAGCGACCATCATATCTTTTCTCGGTCATAGATTCATCTCTCACTGTGACATACAACCAGAAGATGTCTCTTTCAGTTCAAAGGCTTCCCTTATTCCCCTAGAAGTCGTCTCTGGAGAAAAATGAGTCTTTGGACTTAGGGAACCCCCTTCTGCAAGTCTTTTTCTGGTTGGCTTCCCCAATGTAGCTAACATTTCCCTGCATTTCTTGTTAACTGGTGAGTGAATCTGGGGGATTAATCAGATTCATGGGGATCAGATTAGTCTCAGGAGTCCAGAACTGAAGAACAGGAGGACCATAGCATTCACCTCTGATGGTGGAAGTCTTCCTTATTTATCTGTTGGAACACTTCAGCACAGAAACTCCCTCCCAGGTGTCCTGGTAGAGCTGTGTGCATAGGAAGGACAGTAAACACTTTCCTTTAATTAATATGCCAGTGAGTTGGTTCCTCAGTATCCTTCCAAGATGGACTATTTGTGTTTAAGAGTATACAGTTGCCCGCGGTGGTGGCGCATGCCTTTAATCCCAGGACTCGGGAGGCAGAGGCAGGCGGATCTCTGAGTTTGAGGCCAGCCCGGTCTACAGAGCGAGTCCCAGGACAGTCAGGACTACACAGAGAAACCCTGTCTTGAAAAAAAGATCAATATAAGCTTTCAGTATTTTGGGTGTGCTTCAGCTCCTTGATGGTCCTATCTTTGGAGGAGAGAGAAGCTTCCAGGATGGCTCCTGGTTCCTTTATAGGTCAGGGGTCTCTGGCAAATATGTTGCTATTTAGTGTGACAAGACACCCAAGGTGGGCCTAGCGGCACAGGATTATAACTCCAACACTCAAGAAGCTGAGAAGGAAGGAACATGAGTTCCAGGTTGGCCTGAGCTATAAAGCTAGACTTCCTTAAACAAACAAAAATCAATCGGAGTGCAAAATCAGTGGTGGTCAGGGGATGCAGCACAGTGGGAAAATGCCTGTCTCCTACGCATGAGGTCCTGGGTTCGGTTCCCAACACCAAGAGAGAAACCAATGGCCAGCTGGACAGCCTGCCTGCCTGCCTGCCTGCCTTCCTTCCTTCTTCCCTCCTTCCCTCCCTCCCTTTCCTTTCCTTCCTTCTTTTTTCTTATATTGCTGGGAACTGAACCCAGAGCCTCATGGACTCTACCACGGAGCTATGCACACCCGTAATCTCAGCACTCAGGAAACAGGCAAGATATCCACTCCACCTCTCTGCCCCGCCCCAGACAGGGTTTCTCTGTGTAACATTCTTGGATGTCCTGGAATCTGCTTTGTAGACCAGGCTGGCCTTGAACTCACAGAGATCTGCCTGCCTCTGCCACCCTAGTGCTGGGATCAAAGGTGTGCACCACTACCGCCCAGCCAGAGGCAAGAATTTGAGGCCAACCTGAGCTACAATGTGAGGCTCTGTCTCAAAACAAACAAAAACCAAGCACACAACAGAAAAAAAAATTCCATTTTCAATAGCCACAAAAATAGTGAAGAATAAATTTAACCAAGGAGATAAGGGTTTTTAGACTGAAAAATATAAAACAATAATGAAATGAACTTCAGAATGCACAAATAAATGCAAAGATGTCCCATGTTTACAGATGAAATAATTAATATTGTTAAAATACCCAAAGTAAACCAGACACAGCCTATCTGGAATCCCAGAATTTGGGAGGTGGATACAGGAGGATCAGAAGTTAACAATCTTAGCAGGTCATGGTAGCACACATCTTTAATTCCAGCACTGGGGAGGCAGAGGCAGACATATCTCTGTGAGTTCAAGGCCAGCCTGGTCTACAGAGTGAGTTCCAGGACAGCCAAGGCTACACAGAGAAACCCTGTCTTGAAAAACAAAACCAACAAAAACCAAGCACATTCAGGAAAAGTTGCATATCCAATTTGAGATCAATTTGGGTTACTTGACACCCTGTCTCAAAAAACAAACCAAAAGGTGCATGTGCACACTTGAGTGTGCGTGCGTGCATGCGTGCGTGTTTTGAAATGGCTCAGTGGATAAGGTGCCACCAAGCCTGACGTCCTGAATCTGAGCCCCAGAACCACATAGTAGAAGCAGAAAACCAACTCCCAGGAATTGTCCTCTGACAGCCTCAGGCATGTTACAGCATACACATGTTTCACTCTCCTGGGCACGTGTGCAAGCACTCACACTCACATTAGAATATATATTAAAATATATGTAAATGGGATTACAACAGACTAAGGTCTTCCCACACAAAGGAAACAATCAAATCAACTTAGGGAAGTTTTGTGTAGTTCAGGCTAGCCTTGAACTCACTATGTTGACTTGTGATTCTCCTGTCTCAGTCTTCGTCTTCAGAGTTCTGGGATTATATGTACCTGGCTCTTAAAAGTATTGTGGTGTGTGTGTGTGTGTGTGTGTGTGTGTCTGTGTGGTGTGTGTCTGCACGTTTCTGTGTATATGAGCACTCCTGTGTATGGGTACATTTGCACACATGTGCACATGCATATGGATGCCCAAGGCTGACACTGGGTGTCTTCCTTGTATATTGAGGTGAAGCCTCTTGCTGAACCAGAGCTTGCCATTTCAGTTAGTTTGGCTAGCCACCTTACTCTGGGGAGCCCTTGTCTCTGAGTTAGATTAAAAGTGGGCGGTCATGCTCACGCAGCTTTTCCATGAGCTCTGAGAATCTAAACTCTGGTCTTCAAGCTTGTGCAGGAAGGGCTTTTCTTGCTTAACTATCTCCCCAGACCAGAACAGATAAATTTTGTTGTTGTTGTTGTTGTTTTTTGAGACAGGATTTCTCTGTATAGCCCTGGCTATGCTGGAAATCACTCTGTGGACCAGGCTGGCCTCGAACTCAGATACCACTGCCTGGCTTTTCTTTTTTTTTTTTTTTTTTTTTCCATATTTTTTTAAATAGGAGTGGTGATCTGATAAAAATGCCAACAAGCCAGAAGACCTGAGTTCGATTTTTGGAACCAACGTGGTGGAGAACCAGCTCCTATTAGTTATCTCTGATCTCCACAGGCACCATGGTGCATGCACCACATACTATAAACAAATGTTACAAAAATTTTCTTTAACACACATACACAAACCACATAAGAATGTTAATTAACTAACCCACATGTTGAACACACTCTAAAATATCATATATCATAAATATATACGTTTGCCAATTTAAGAGACGAGGGAAGCAGTGTTAATTCTAGACCTCGGGATGTAGAGGCCGGAGGAGCAAGTGGTTGAGCAAGACAAACCTCAGCTACAAGGTGAATTCAAGGCCAGACTGGGCTTGTCTCAAATAAAAACAAACAAAGAAAAACAAGAAGCAATGAAGCTGGGCGGTGGTGGCACATGCCTTTAATCCCAGCACTGTGAGTTCGAGGCCAGCCTAGTCTACAGAGCGAGATCCAGGACAGGCACCAAAACTACAAGAAACCCTGTCTCGAAAAAACCAAAAAACAAAAACAAAAAAAGCAGCAATGATTTTGAGGATGTGGTTCAGTGGCATAGAACTGATTGATATGTTCCCAGTTTTGGGTTTTATTCCCAGAACCAAAAAAACAACCAACCAACAGCAACAACCCCCCCCCCCCAAATTCATTCTCTCAAATTCAGAAGGCCTAAGTGAAAAATAAATGTTTGGGAAGAAAAGGTGGTTTTTGGTGTTTTTCCCCATTTCTCCCAGCTCCCTGGTGACGGCGTCTTTGTACTGACTTCAGGTCTTCTGGGTGTGGACAAGGGCTATCTGCTGCTGTGATACTGGGATGGCACTTAGGGACCACTTGAGACAATCCAGGATGATCTCATCTCAAGATCTGTCACTAATCCCTGCTGCAAATATGCTTTTTCTAAATGGCACAACTCACAAGCTCTGGAGACTTCATTTGGTTTTGTCCTGCTAGAGATTGAAGGTGGGGCTTGGAGAATTCTGAGGATTTGATGTGAGGACTTTGGGGGACTGTTTTTCAACTTACCTCAAAGGCTCTACCAGACCTCCCGGCACCAGCCATTTCTCCAAGGGCCTTTGGTTCTTCATGCTTCAAAGCCACACGTAGGGGCTGAATGCTATGATGCAGTGTGGACAAACATGATTTACTATCCCCATTCTCACACCTCTGACTCTATATAATCCAGGCTGGTTTGAAATCTGAAATCCTTCTGCCTTGGCCTCCTGAGTTCTGGGATTGACAGGTATGAGTCATTGTATCTGACCTGATCATCTCTTGAACATCCATCCCACTCTGGTTGTGATCACTGGACACAGTATTGCTTTTGTTGTCCTCCTGACTATAGCCCCCAGAACCTATCTGTGGCCCTTGTAGACTCTTTCCTAAACCTGTCACCCCTAAAAAGGCCCAAGGTGTCATGGGAGGACGGCAGGACTCCAGGTCCCGTCCACTCAAGGAGAATGTCAGGCCTTTCTGGGGACTCAGGCTTGCTGGGACTGCTGTGGGGCTGGAAGGAAGGAATGGGGACTTGGCCTTTTAGCCACAGAACACGTGGCAAAACATTGATTAATAGAAATGGGTTAATTGACGTTATAAGAGCTAGCTAGCAAGAAGCCTGCCATAGGCCATGCAATTGGTAATATTAAGTCTCTGAACGATTATTTTATAAGCGGCTGAAGGACCACGTGGCCGGGTGGTACTGGAGAAACCTTCCGACTACAGCTTTTTCTTAACCCCCTTCCAGCCTTGCCACTGCCCTTGAAGCTTCTGTTGGTTGAATGTGGTTGCTCTTTTGGGTCTTCCTATGCAGAGACTTTGGCAACAGGAAAACAGCCACTGGTTTCTGCTTACTGCCTCTCAGGGGCCGCAGGCCCAAGCTATTGTGATAGGATCCTGGAAGACCACTGCAACACCATCACGATAATGGTCTTCCTTCAATCTGTCACCACGATGTCTTTGGTGGCCATGTTTTTCTCCTTCTTTCTTTCTTTCTTTCTTTCTTTCTTTCTTTCTTTCTTTCTTTCTTTCTTTCTTTCTTTCTTTCTTCCTTTGTTAGTTTGTTCCTTCCTTCCTTCTCCTCTCTTCCTCTTCTTCCTCCTCCTCCTCCTCCTCCTTCTTCTTTTGAGATAGGGTTTCTCTGTATAACAGCTCTGGCTGTCCTGGAACTCACTATGTAAACCAGGCTGGCCTCACACTCACAGAAATCCACCTGCCTCCGCCTCCCCAGTGCTGAGATTAAAGGTGTGTGCCACCACCCCTGGCTGCTAGCCATGTTTTTCAATACTGCTTTCAGAGCTGAAAAGAGGGCTAGAGAGGGGGCTCAGCCATTAAACGCTAGGCTCACAACCAAAACTACAAAGTGAGAAGGGCAGTTTTGTTTATGACGAAGCCAATAAAATGACTACTGTTGATAAACCTTCATCTTTCAGTATGGGTATTTCACCTTTTATGTGACAAAACGAGAAATGTAGCCTGATGAGGACACACATGCTCTAATCTCAGCACTTGAGAAGCTGAGGCAGGAGGATTGCAGCAAGTTTGAGGCTAGCCTGGACTACAAAGTGATTTTAGGTACAGTCAGTGCTACATAGCAAAACCTTGTCTCAAAACCAACCAACCAATCAATCACCACACACACAAAATAAAACGACAGCCAAATGAAACAACTAGCCCCCCAAAACAGATGGGTAGACCATATTTGTAATCCCAATATTTGAGAGGTGTAGATAGAAGATTGGAAGTTCAAGGCATCATGGGCTACCTATCCCCAGAAAGGCCTGACATTCCCCTTCAGTGGACAGAATCTGGAGCCCTGCTACCTTCCCATGCACACTCTGGCCTTTTTAGAGGTGACAGGTTTAGGATAGGATATAGCCTGGGCTACACGAGACCCTGTCTCAGGAAAACAAAACAGAAATAAAAAAAGGAATGATACTCCGATACATTATAACATGGATGGATCCTGAAAATATAGTGCAAAAGCAGACCCCTCCCCTCAAAAAAAAAAAGAGGGAGAAGAAAGAATATAATTCAGTTTCTATAAGGTGTCTAGAATTAAAAAAAAAAAAAAGCAGAACACAAGTTGCTAGGGACGAAGGAGAGTTA